ACATGACTTATGTCATCTCTCACCCTAATCTTGCCACCCTCAACACCATTGTTAACGAGAAGCTGCTCAAAATATCGACTTGGATGACAGCCAATAAACTTACACTTAACACTGACAAAACCTAATACGTTATGTTTGGTAGCAGAGCAGGTATTGCGCAACTTAACATTAAGATCGACAACACTCTAATTGCCAGACATAATGAGGGCAAATTCCTAGGCCTATACCTCGACAACAACCTGAATTTCAGCACACATATCTAACACATAACAAAAAAAGTATCCAAAACAGTTGGGATCCTCTCCAAGATACGATACTACGTGCTGCAAAATGCCCTTCTCACACTATACCATTCACTCATTTATCCATACTTCGCCTATGCTATTTGTGCTTGGGGATCAACTGCAGCAACACACCTAAAGCCAATAATAACCCAACAAAAAGCCGCAGTAAGAATAATCACTAAATCCTATCCCTGGCAACACCCCCCCCCCACTCTTCATAGATCTAAACTTACTCCCTGTTCAGAACATCCACACTTACTACTGTGCAATCTACATCTACAGGACCTTAAATTCCAATATTAACCTTGACCTAAAACACTTTCTTGATAGTTGTGACAGGACCCACAGGCATAACACCAGACACAAACATCTCTACGACATTCCCCGAGGCCGACTAAACCTTTACAAAAATTCAATGTATGTCAAAGGCCCTAAAATCTGGAACACCCTACCTGAAAACTCAAAAACTGCAGACACATTCATCACCTTCAAAACTACCGTTAGAAAACATCTTATCTCCCTGCTACACCCCGTCAACTAACTACATAAAAGCCACCTGGTGGTTCACACTTACACTCACTCACTCACCCATTTGACTATAAGCACAGAAATACGAATCCTAATCTCAAAATAATGATTCCTAACTAGTCATAAGTTTGCCTGTGATACTCCAATATAGAAACTATGTATTGTGCTAAAACAAAAACATTCACATTGCAAAACTCACAAACTAGTATTTAGTCACTTAGTATTTAGTCAACTTACTCCATAATTTGTAATAATTTAGGGTTAACAATTAATCTAAGTTTGCCCGAAATGCCTAGCCATGCTAGGTGTCCTAGTGGCCCCCTCTGTAATTAGTATTTTATTACATGTAAACCACACAATAACAAAAATCTGTAAACCCCGCATTGTAATCCTTTAGAGAATAAATTTGATTGATTGATTGATTGATTAGTGTACAGCAGTATTCCAGCCTAGAGAGAACAAGCAATTTGAAGAGAATCATCATGGGCTTGGCATCCCTAGTTTTGAAGGTTCTCATTTTCTATCATTTTTCTAGCAGATGAGGTAGATACATTGTTGTGGTCTTTAAAGGCAAGATCCTCTGACATTATCACTCCCAGGTCCTTCACATTAGTTTTTTGATCTATTGTGCAGTTAGATACAGTTTTAATTTCCTCAAGTTTTCCATATCTGAGTAATTGAAATTTCTCTTCACTGAACTTCATACTGCTTTCTGCAGCCCATTTAAAGATTTGGTTGATGTCTGCTTGGAGTCTTGCAGTGTCTTCAATGGAGGACACTGTCATGGCAAAGAAAGATACAGAGCCATGGCTATCGCTCCATTTACATCACTCGCTTACATCTCTATGTCGGATATGAGGATGAGGAACAGGATGGGAACGAGTACTGTGCCTTGTGGAACAGAGCTTTTCACTGTAGCTACCTCAGACTTTACTCTGTTTACTATTACTCTTTGTGTTCTATTAGGACATTATAGATCCATCTATTAACTTTTCCAATTATTCCTTTATCACTTATTTTGTGCACTATTACACCGTGGTCACATTTGTCGAAGGCTTTTGCATAGTTTGTGTATACTACATCTGCATTTTGTTTATCCTCTCAAGCATCCAGGACCTTGTCATAATGGTCCATGTGGCATGCAAAGAGTACATAACCTTTATTCGGCACATGTACACACCCTCACTGAAAGGCTATCTCCCCCAACCAGCGAACCAGTAGTAAGGGTCGGACGATGGGGCCCCGTCATTCGATCAGTACCCAGGTTCAGCCAATGAGAAGATGGTTTTGGCAATCGCCTGTCTGCCCTTATCATTTCCATTCTACAGCTGGTTGAAGCACGGTCTGCTCTCTAGTGGCATCTATTCTGCCTTGCTTACCGTGGCGTGCACTAATACCTATTGTTGTACATAGTGTATATAGTGTACATTTGTTCTTACTTGGTGGAAGGATAATATAAGTCAAAAGTTTTTCTGCTGTGTTTGTTTTTGCCCCCTTTACACCCAGGATAACAGGCCTTTGAATTCTTGGGTTGTAATAGTCCAGTAGCTGGGACAGGCAGGAGCGGCCTGCTCTAAACCCGTGTTGCCCTGGGTTGTGTAACTGATGGGCATCTAGGTGGTTGGTGATCTTGCTTCTTAGAACCCTTTCAAAGATTTTTATGATATGGGATGTTAGCACTATTGGTCTGTAGTTCTTTGCAATTGCTTTAATGCCACCTTTGTGGAGTGGGGCTATGTCTACTACTAGTCCTTAATCTATCCCTACACACCTGTGATATTTGTGCACGGGGATCAATAACAGCAAATCGCGTGAAACCCATTGTTAAACAGCAGAAATCTGCTCCTAGAATGATCGCTCATTTAGGTTCCATGCAACCTTCCCCTCCCCTCTCCTATCCTTTTCAAAAGGTTAAACTTGCTTAACATACAAAATATACTTACTACTGTGTGCACTATATATACAGGGCACTCAGTACAAACATTAACCCAGAGCTAAAGTTCTTTTTGAAGAGCTGACACAGAACACATTATCACAGTACAAGGAACAAATATCTCTGATATATGTATATGACTCAACCTGCTTAACCCTTTCGGGGTTTCGGCTGTACTAGTACGGCTTACACGCCAGGGTTTTTGACGTACTAGTACACATAAATTCTAGCGCCCTCAAATCTAGCAAGAGAAAGCTGGTAGACCTACATATGAAAGAATGGGTCTATGTGGTCAGTGTGCGCAGTATAAAAAATATCCTGCAGCACAGTGCATAATGAGAAAAAAAAAACTTTGACCGTGTTTTTGGTTTAAAACAACGACTTTGCACTGTATTTTCGTATGGTATTTATGGATGTATTCTAGTTTTCCTGGTCTTATTTTATAGAATGGAAGACATATTACAGAAATTGAGATGATTTTGATTGGTTTCACAATGAAAAGTACCTTGAAATTGAGCTCAAAGTAGCAGAAATGTTTGATTTTTGAAAAAGTTCAAAAGTAAACAAATCATGCCACGCGTCCAATACACGTCAACTGGTGAATCCAATATTCTTTCACAAGTGCGCTAGTATTATTTATACCATTTCTACACTAATACAGTAGTCTGCATAACAGTAACTCTTCTATTTTTTGTATGAATAAAAATTCAAAGTGGAAAGCAAAAGAAATATAAGAGTGGCGTGGGGATGTGACTAATGAACAGAGGAAATGTTATTTTAGTGCCAGGAATGTCTTTCTTGTTTATTCTGGACCCTATTTGGAAATTGGCATCTTTTGAAATTTGTGTGAAATTGGCAAAATTGCTAAATTCTGACCACTTTATTGGGTAGTTGAAATCGGTAAATGGGTGGTTTCTTGTACTCATTCGATAGAAAAAATGGAGTTCTAGCTAAATAGTTATGATTTTTGTCAACTAGTACACTGGAATTGACCGAAAATAGGGCTCAATGTGGGCAAAATCGCTGATGCGTAAACATCGCCGAGACCGCTAACTTCATGAGAGCATAATTCCGTAAGTTTTCCATCAAATTTCATACTTTTGGTGTCATTATGATCAGGAAAAGATTATCTTTTCACAAGAAAAAATAATTTTTTTTTTTTTAAATTTTGGCGACCCTGAGAACAAGTCTCTGAGAGGGCCTGGCGTCCCTCAAAGGGTTAAAAACTCCATGCAAATAAAAGGCCCAGAAATGTTGAACTAGCTGCCTGAAAGTGCCGAAAGTTTTCTATCTGCCCAAAATTTTAATAACATTTAAAAAACATCTATTAAATCTTACTTATATATTATATCCAGTAAATATTCATGCAATATTGTCACCACTATAATTCTACTACTCCATAAAATACATAAAATTGATCTGATATAAATTCAATGAAAACTATCTGTAATGGCCTAAAATTATATGTCAGTATTAGAATCATTTAGTAGGATTAGTTTACCCAAAATGTTATGCCTTTTGACTGTAACTGTATCAAAAGTGAAACCAAATACATGTATACTGTAAACTTCTATGTAATATCTAAGTATGTCCAACAAGAAACAAAGGTTTTATTATTTTCATTTTTGTTTCTTGAATACAGGGGATAGGGGCTATCTGGTCAGGGGGATTCCCGTCTTAGATCTTACAGCAACCAAATTAATCTGCTTTTAATTTCACCGAATGAAGAGGCACTCACCATGAAATATTAAAAAGCACTGGAAGAAATTGGATATATTATTTCATGAATTACTTTATAAAATTGTCTTACCTTCTGGCCCAGGTTGTAATGGCTGCACTGAAAACTGCTAACCCAAACCACAAGCTGAGTAGTGATAATCGAGCTTGGGTCATTGTCACCACATCCAGTAGCCAGAGTGGCGTCCACTTTCCCAGTAAGAATGAGGAAACTGCTACACCGACTGACCCACACATACAAATATATGGCATAAACATTTGTGGATGGTGCAGAAGTGGAAACTTGTAGAGGCCAGCCACCATTGATGAGAAAACAAGTACTGCTGTCTGAAATTAGACACATTAAAACTGTTTTAAAATTTCTTGATTCTAGTGGATTTAGTGCTTCTTTTTTTATTATAATAATAAAAATATAAAATTTCTTATAATTTTTAAACAATAATTTTGAATATCATTACTTCTGTTAAAAATTCCAGTATCCATTATAGTGCTATGTATTCATGAAACTAAACATGCTAAGTTCAACTAACTTCAAATGTATAAATTAAATATATTAGCCAGCCAAACAGCATAATCCTCCCTACATATAGTGGAACCTCGGTTGTCAATTGCATTACTTGTCGAACAAATCGGTTTTGAATGAGAAAATCAAGAAGAAAATGTTTTGGTATTTGTATGTGCTCTTGACGGATGACGCGAACAGAACAAAGTGGCTCAGGTCACGTGCCCACAGAATGTGCACTGGATAATGAGTCAACAGCATGGGTCTGCATCAGCATAGTCACTAAAAAAAATAAAAAATCACCCCAGCTCCCAAATTTAACTAAACCAACACTATACTACTATGCCTGAAATCACAGAACCAGTTTGAAACTACATACTCAAAAATCCCAATTAATGCTTAAACTTGTACTATTGTAAATTATACTAATTGTATCTTTTTGCAACCTCTCCACTATAAATTCTATTAGTTATAAAATTTTTGCTCTCTCTCTCTTTGTAATAATGTATGATTAAAATTTACCACTCCATAACCTGTGTCTAGTTTTAAGTAGTGTGTGAGCATTAGGATTAGTCTGCCTGAAGTGATTATGCACGTTAGTGGCTTTCTTTGTGCTTAACAATATTTTACTACATGTAAGCTACACACAGTATAATATGCAAAGAAATAAAATTATGAATTTGAACCTTTGTTACAATAACTACTACAAATAGTAATAGGAGTGATATTAACAATGATCAAGAAATAAAAATATTAGATTAAAGGGTAAGGCAATGTTTATTTAAATGAGTAGAACAAAAAATACTAAATATAAAGAAAAATAAAAAATAAATACTAATTATCTACTTTATTTTACAAAGATAACTAATATGGTTAGAGCAATAGGTCTGTGTAGCTGTATTTGAATCATTACTGTACTTGAACAGCTATTACATACATTTCATGAAGATTTTAGAAAGAGGATTCATCAAATTATAATGAACATCATACTTCCCTGAGGAAATAGGTAAGTGCTTGGTAAAGCATTTCACAGTTTGAATACAAAAAAAAAAGTGTGTACTATACAATATACCTGGAGAAAAACACTAATTTCTTGAAACTCTGACTTGTTCTTCTGTAGCAGAAAGGTAGAGAGAAGATTGTAGAGGGAGCATGTGATGGTTAGTGCTCCTGTCTGTCCTACCATGGCTCCCTCTCCTAGACTGAAGCTTCCAGGAAAGGTCCTGAACAACCAATGTGTCAGTTCATAAAGAATCCATGCACATGATGATGTAGCCAATATTGCACTAGTAAAATCTGCAAAAAGAAAAAAAATCATTGAAAGCATTCTAATAAATTTATGCAGGGCCAAGCAAACAGGCTAGTATTTATTTTCCCTCTTAATGAGGACTGTTCACCTAGCAGCCTGATGGTTAAGCTAAGCTTCAAGGATCACTTTCTATATTATATAAAAAACTGGGCATATATATTAATCCTTACCACAAAAACTATAACAGAGATCATTAGAAGCCCTAAACTCACAACTGCTTGCACAGCAGAAGTATACAACATACTGTATGTTGGATCCAATAAATTCTACATTGGGGATACTGGCAGAGACCTTCAGACATACCTTCAGGAACATAAATATGCCTGCAATAATGCATGCATAGTCCTTCACACCCTTTGTTTTCACATCATGGACTGGGGAAGAACTGTTACACCACAAGAATGACAGGATCAGATACAGAATTTTGGAAGCAGTAGTGATCTACCTCACAAATACCACTAAGCAAAACTGAAATATATATGTTGACTGGGCCTATTTACCACATTGTCCATTATTCATTTTTTTTTTTTTTTCAACAAGTCGGTCGTCTCCCACCGAGGCAGGGTGACCCAAAAAAAAAGAAAGAAAATCCCCAAAAAGAAAATACTTTCATCATCATTCAACACTTTCACCACATGCACACATTATCACTGCTTTTGCAAAGGTGCTCAGAATACAACAGTTTAGAAGCATATACATATAAAGATACACAATATATCCCTCCAAACTGCCAATATCCCAAACCCCTCCTTTAAAGTGCAGGCATTGTACTTCCCATTTCCAGGACTCAAGTCCGACTATATGAAAATAACCGGTTTCCCTGAATCCCTTCACTAAATATTACCCTGCTCACACTCCAACAGATCGTCATGTCCCAAGTATCATTCGTCTCCATTCACTCCTATCTAACACGCTCATGCACGCTTGCTGGAAGTCCAAGCCCCTCGCCCACAAAACCTCCTTTACCCCCTCTTTCCAACCCTTTCGAGGACGACCCCTACCCCTCTTTCCTTCCCCTATAGATTTATATGCTTTCCATGTCATTCTACTTTGATCCATTCTCTCTAAATGACCAAACCACCTCAACAACCCCTCTTCTGCCCTCTGACTAATGCTTTTATTAACTCCACACCTTCTCCTAATTTCCACACTCCGAATTTTCTGCATAATATTTACACCACACATTGCCCTTAGACAGGACATCTCCACTGCCTCCAACCGTCTCCTCGCTGCTGCATTTACCACCCAAGCTTCACATCCATACAAGAGTGTTGGTACTACTATACTTTCATACATTCCCTTCTTTGCCTCCATAGATAACGTTTTTTGACTCCACATATACCTCAACGCACCACTCACCTTTTTTCCCTCATCAATTCTATGATTAACCTCATCCTTCATAAATCCATCCGCCGACACGTCAACTCCCAAGTATCTGAAAACATTCACTTCTTCCATACTCCTCCTCCCCAATTTGATATCCAATTTTTCTTTATCTAAATCATTTGATACCCTCATCACCTTACTCTTTTCTATGTTCACTTTCAACTTTCTACCTTTACACACATTCTCAAACTCATCCACTAACCTTTGCAATTTTTCTTTAGAATCTCCCATAAGCACAGTATCATCTGCAAAAAGTAACTGTGTCAATTCCCATTTTGAATTTGATTCCCCATAATTTAATCCCACCCCTCTCCCGAACACCCTAGCATTTACTTCTTTTACAACCCCATCTATAAATATATTAAACAACCATGGTGACATTACACATCCCTGTCTAAGACCTACTTTTACCGGGAAGTATTCTCCCTCTCTTCTACACACCCTAACCTGAGCCTCACTATCCTCATAAAAGCTCTTTACAGCATTTAGTAACTTACCACCTATTCCATAAACTTGCAACATCTGCCACATTGCTCCTCTATCCACTCTATCATATGCCTTTTCTAAATCCATAAATGCAATAAAAACTTCCCTACCTTTATCCAAATACTGTTCACATATATGCTTCAATGTAAACACTTGATCTACACATCCCCTACCCACTCTGAAGCCTCCTTGCTCATCCGCAATTCTACATTCTGTCTTACCTCTAATTCTTTCAATTATAACTCTACCGTATACTTTTCCTGGTATACTCAGTAAACTTATTCCTCTATAATTTTTACAATCTCTTTTGTCCCCTTTCCCTTTATATAAAGGGACTATACATGCTCTCCGCCAATCCCTAGGTACCTTCCCCTCTTTCATACATTTATTAAACAAAAGTACCAACCACTCCAACACTATATCCCCCCTGCTTTTAACATTTCTGTCATGATCCCATCAGTTCCAGCTGCTTTACCCCCTTTCATTCTACGTAATGCCTCACGTACCTCCACCACACTTACATTCTGCTCTTCTTCACTCCTAAAAGATGGTATACCTCCCTGGCCAGTGCATGAAATTACCGCCTCCCTTTCTTCCTCAACATTTAAAAGTTCCTCAAAATATTCTCGCCATCTACCTAATACCTCCCTCTCTCCATCTACTAACTCCCCTACTCTGTTTTTAATGGACAAATCCATACTTTCCCTAGGCTTTCTTAACTTGTTTAACTCACTCCAAAATTTTTTCTTATTTTCATTAAAATTTCTTGACAGTGCCTCTCCCACTCTTTCATCTGCTCTCCTTTTGCACTCTCTCACCACTCTCTTCACCTTTCTTTTACTCTCCATATACTCTGCTCTTCTTATAACACTTCTGCTTTGTAAAAACCTCTCGTAAGCTACCTTTTTCTCTTTTATCACACCCTTTACTTCATCATTCCACCAATCACTCCTCTTTCCTCCTGCCCCACCCTCCTATAACCACAAACTTCTGCCCCACATTCTAATACTGCATTTTTAAAACTATTCCAACCCTCTTCAACCCCCCCACTACTCATCTTTGCACTAGCCCACCTTTCTACCAATAGTCGCTTATATCTCGCCCGAACTTCCTCCTCCCTTAGTTTATACACTTTCACCTCCCTCTTACTTGTTGTTGCCACCTTCCTCTTTTCCCATCTACCTCTTACTCTAACTGTAGCTACAACTAAATAATGATCTGACATATCAGTTGCCCCTCTATAAACATGTACATCCTGGAGCCTACCCATCAACCTTTTATCCACCAATACATAATCTAATAAACTACTTTCATTACATGCTACATCATACCTTGTATATTTATTTATCCTCTTTTTCATAAAATATGTATTACTTATTACCAAATCTCTTTCTACACATAGCTCAATTAAAGGCTCCCCATTTACATTTACCCCTGGCACCCCAAATTTACCTACTACTCCCTCCATAACATTTTTACCCACTTTAGCATTGAAATCCCCAACCACCATTACTCTCACACTTGATTCAAAACTCCCCACGCATTCACTCAACATTTCCCAAAATCTCTCTCTCTCCTCTACACTTCTCTCTTCTCCAGGTGCATACATGCTTATTATAACCCACTTTTCACATCCAATCTTTATTTTACTCCACATAATCCTTGAATTTATGCATTTGTAGTCCCTCTTTTCCTGCCATAGCTTATCCTTCAACATTATTGCTACTCCTTCTTTAGCTCTAACTCTATTTGAAACCCTGACCTAATCCCATTTATTCCTCTCCATTGAAACTCTCCCACCCCCTTCAGCTTTGTTTCACTTAAAGCCAGGACATCCAGTTTCTTCTCATTCATAACATCCACAATCATCTCTTTTCTTATCATTTGCACAACATCCACGCACATTCAGACTTCCCATTTTGACAATTTTCTTCTTCTTATTCTTTTTAGTAATCTTTACAGGAAAAGGGGTTACTAGCCCATTGTTCCCGGCATTTTAGTTGACTTTTACAACACGCATGGCTTACGGAGGAAAGATTCTTATTCCACTTCCCCATGGATATAAAAGGAAAAGTAACAAGACCAAGAACTATTAAGATAAAATCAAAGAAAACTCAGATGAGTGTGTATAAATAAACGTGTACATGTATGTGTAGTGTGACCTAAGTGTAAGTAGAAGTAGCAAGACGTACCTGTAATCTTGCATATTTATGAGACAGACAAAAGACACCAGCAATCCTACCATCATGTAAAACAATTACAGGCTTTCGTTTTACACTCACTTGGCAGGACGGTAGTACCTCCCTGGGTGGTTGCTGTCTACCAACCTACTACCTATAATATACATAATAAACTTATCATCTTATCCCCATCCTTACACTCGTCAATACCTAACCTCACATCGTCTGTACTTAATCTCGCAATTTCATGACTTCGTATATGACCTGCCTGACCTCGTGGTACCTGTTTGCCTTATAAGTCACTGTACTTGCCCACTCCTTTAAACTTGATATGGCCCAGCCTTGGACAAAACATTGTATTAAAAGGACTGTTTGCTACCAGTGTCTATATCCAGGTGTTGTGCTGGAGATGTAGAACACAGTTTATGTAATATGAATCTTCAAATCAAGAGACAAGTCTACCTACCTAATCTGGAGGTCATTCCGAGGGTCAACACCCCTGTGGATCATTCCTTGACCAGGCCTCCATACCATCAAATTACCAAATAACCTGACCTCCATAATAGGCAAAATATTAAAATCAATAAGAGCTGACATAATTAGGTAGTAGATTGGTAGACAGCAACCAACGAGGGAGGTACATACTAATGTCCTGCCAAGTGAGTGTAAAACAGAAATCTGCAATTGTTTTACATGATGGTAGGATTGCTAGTGTCTTTTTCTTGTCTCATAGACATGCAAGATTTCAGATACATCTTGCTACCTCTACTGACACTTAGGTCCTACTACACATGAATGTACAAGCACATATATACACACCCCTCTGGGTTTTCTTCTATTTTCTTAACAGTTCTTGTTTTTGTTTATTTCCTCTTATCTCCATGGGGAAGTGGAACAGAATTCTTCCTCTGTACACCATGAATGTCATAAGAGGCAACTAAAATGCCGAGAGCAAGAGTCACCCTGCCGCGGTGGGATACTGTCAGTTCTTTAACCCTTTCAGGGTCCATGCCGTAGATCTATGGCTTTACGTTCAGGGTCCAAACCGTAGATCTACGCCATGAGCTCAGCTCACTCTGATAAGCTGTGAGTGGTAAATTTGGGCCTAGATATGAGAGAATACATCTATGTGGTATGTGTGCACCACATAAAACAAATCCTGCAGCACACAGTGTATAATGAGAGAAAAAACTGAGACAGTGATTTTTTATTAAAACAGCAAATTTGCAGTGTTTTTTCGTATGTTTTTTATAGTTGTATTTGTGATTTCTTGGTCTCATTTGACAGAATGGAAGATATATTACAGAAATAGAAATGATTTTGATTGGTTTTAGCACTGAAAATGGCTTGAAACTGAGCTCAAAGTAACGGAAATGTTAAATTTTTGTCGATGTTCAAGAGTAAACAAACGACCTCACATGTCTAATACATGTCAGCTGATGGGTCTAATATACATTCACAAATGTGGTGATGATATTTATACAATTATTACAATATTGCATAACAGTAAATCTTCTATTTTTTGGTTTGAATAAAAATTCATTATGTGAATAAAAAATCAAAATGGAATTCATTTGTAAAGCCTGAAAACATAACTAATGAACAGAGGAAATGTTAGTTTAGTGCCAGGAATGCCTGCATTGTTTATTCTGGACCCTATTTTGATATTGGAATATTTTAAACTTTGTGTTAAATTGGCCAAATTACCAATTTCCATTCACTTTATTTTGTAGTAGAAACAGTTGACTGGGCGATTTATTGAGCTCAACCGATAGAATAGAAATAATACTAGTGAAATAGCAAAGAATTTGGTCGACTGGAATAATGTAATTGGCCTAAAATGGGAGTCAAAGTCGTCAAAATCGCCAATTCGTAAATATTGCTGACACATCAAAATTCGCGAGAGCATAATTTCATCAATTTTCCATCAAATTTCATACTTTTTGTTTTATTATCTTCAGAAAAAGATTCTCTACCATTTCATAAGAAAAAATAACAAAAATTTTTTTTGAAAATTCTTGGACCCTGGTGTGCACTTTGAAATTTGGCCTCTGAACCCTGAAAGGGTTAAAAAAAAAAAAAAAAGATGACATAATAAAAAGTCACCTTGATGAGCATAATTGGATTTATGAGTCTCAACACAGATTCACAAGAGTAGTTTTTGCCTGACAATTAACTGACGTCCTTCAGTAAAGCACCTGAGGTAGAATAAAGAAAACACAATGTTCATTTGGATTTTAGTAAGGCTTTTAATAAAGTCCCACAAAGAAAACCTGTTTAAGAAAGTGACAGCACATGATACTGGAGGAAAAGTTCTCACATGGCTTGAGGCATGGCTGACTAATAGGAAGCAGAGAGGCCCATATTGGAGTTCTTTAAGTGGGGTGAGATCAGAAAAGGGACCAGTCATAAGTGGCATTCTATGAAGATTAGTTTTGGGCTCCTTGTTCATAAATGGCATTAATGAGGAAATAAAAAGTGACATGAGTAAATCTGCTTCCAACATACACAAAAAACAATAAATTTAGAAAAAGATACCCAGTACTACTGAACTTCCAAAAGATTTGCATAAGCTAATATCATGGGCTAAAAGTGGCAAATGGAAAAGAGCAAAATTCTAGATACATCATTAAGAGTTATGACTTGAGCTACTGCAGAATTACCAGTATTATTCCCTTTCAGGGTCCAGACCCCCAATCTGAAATTTGTTCTCAGGGTCCAAAAATTTCCCTGCCCCCTAATAAATTATTCTTTCTCATAAAATGGTAGAGAATCTTTTTCCAAAGGAAATGACACCAAAAGTACGAAATCTGATAAAAAAAAAGTACTAAATTTGATGGAAAACTTATGAAAATACACAGGCACAGAATTAGTGGTCTCAGAGCAATTTACCCACTAGTGATTGCACACACTTTAAGTCCCATTTTAGGCCAATTCCACTGTTCAAGTCAACCAAACTCTTAGCTATTTTGCTAGTATGCCTTCCATTCTATCAACTGTGCATAAGAAACCGACCATTCAACTATTTCAACTACCCAATAAAGTGATCAGAATTCAATAATTTGGCCAATTTCACACAAAATTAAAAAATGCCAATTACAAAAAAAGAATCCACAATAAACAATGTAGACATTCCTGGCACTAAAACAACATTTCCTCTGATTATTATTTATGTTCCCAGGCCTCTCCTACATATTACACTTGCTTTCTATTTTGAATTTTTATTCACACAAAAAATAGAAGATTTACTGTTATGCAGGCTACTGCAGTATTGTAGCAATTGTATAAATAATGTCAGTGCATTCATGAACATGTATTAGACATGTAATTAGATGACCAAATGGGAGTGATGTGATTAGTGCCTTCTGGAATAATGATAAAAATTGAATATTTCTGCTACTTTGAGCTTACTTTCAAGCTACAGTGGAACCTCGGTACTCGAACAGCTCCCTACTCAAACAATTCGGTGGTCAACCATTTGCTCAGCACTTGATCAAACAAACACGCCCTGCCAGACCTTCGCTGTAAACTATTTCGTGTTTCTTTGCATTTTTTGGTGTTTTTTATATTATTTGTATAAATCAGTTACCAAGGGGCCTAAAAAGATTAGTGATAACAGCCAACAAAAAAAAAAAATTGGTTGGGAAAAATTCGTTCAGTATTCTAACAGATCGGCACTCAAACAGCCTTCTGGAATGAATTAAGTTCAAGTACTGAGGTTCCACTGCACTTCCATTCCTGAAACCAATCAAAATCATCACTATTTCTGTAATGTATCTTCCACTTTATCAAACATTACCAAGAAACAGAATAAAACCATAAAAACATCTGAAAATACACCACAAAGTCACTATATTAAACTATTCACACAGACATAGTTTTGTTTTTCCATCATACACTGCATGGGGAAGGATTTTTTTATATGGAGCACACTCCCTGGACAGACCCATTATCTTATATCTAGGCCAAAATTTATCACTTACAGCTTGTATGATTGAGCTGAGCTCATACTTTAGTACTACAGCACGGACCCTGAGCTCAAAGCTGTAGTATTACGGCACGGACCCTGAAAGGGTTAAGAGTTATGACTTTATAAAGAAATAAGTTATCATTTTATAAAAATTAAACACACTCCATGCCCAGTAGTATTAACATTTACCCTCATTTTCTTCAGCACTCAGCAACTTGGCATTGTGAGTGTCGGCTAGCAGTTACTACGTGAATGTGGCATGCTGGGTACCTAACAAACTGCTAATAATTGTCTAAGTCCAAAATTTGAATCCTAAGGTAAGGGTAAATCAAAACATTGATATCAATGGGATCACAAGTTTGGAAATTTATAAGTTGGTAAGATGTAGGCAGAGCTAAAACTTTATTGGATATGAGAATCTCAATATCTACAAACTGCCAAAAACTAAAGTACTTAGTGAGAAATAATAAATTCAGGCTACTGAGAATTCATTACACCAATAATTAAGCATTAAGCATTAGGTTTAGTCTGCCTGAAATGCCCCCACATGACAGTGGCTTTCTTTGTACTTAGGAAATCAAAATTGTAATTACACATTGTAAACTATGCAAAGAAATAAAAATCCTTAATCCTTAATAATAACTACTCACGGATGTCAGAAAGAAAGGAGAGAGAAATGGCTGTGACTAGTGCTGGAGTATACGGATGGATAAGAACCCTGAGTAGAATGGGGGATTCTCTGTTATCTTCACTCCTCATGTTATCGTAAGTGCCTGAGGCACACATTTGCTTGTACAAATGGATGCCACACACTCCAACCTGGGTGTCGTTATAAATTAATTGCAAGGATGTGAAAACTTAGAAGTGAAGAAAATATAATAAATAAATATGAAAATACAATAATACTCTGAGGTTACATGTGTGTCATGCAAGATTTCAGGTATGTCTTGCTACTTCTACTTACACTTAGGTCACACTACACATACATGTACAAGCATATATATACACACCCCTTTGGGTTTTCTTCTATTTTCTTTCTAGTTCTTGTTCTTGTTTATTTCCTCTTACCTCCATGGGGAAGTGGAACAGAATTCTTCCTCCGTAAGCCATGCGTGTTGTAAGAGGCGACTAAAATGCCGGGAGCAAGGAGCTAGTAACCCCTTCTCCTGTATATATTACTAAATGTAAAAGGAGAAACTTTCGTTTTTCCTTTTGGGCCACCCCGCCTCGGTGGGATACGGCCGGTGTGTTGAAAGTTACATGTGTGTGTTCACATGCTGGGTACTCATATATGTACATGTACAACCAGAAATATAAGTAATTAAGCTCAACATTTCAGGCAGAGATAAACTAGAACTAATATACTCTACTTGTGAAAACATTAGAGGCTGTGTTTATTTTATATGATCGAATTTAACCTAATACCTGTCATCCTAGTATTTATTTTATATGATCGAATTTAACCTAATACCTGTCATCCTAGTATTTATTTTATATGATCGAATTTAACCTAATACCTGTCATCCTAGTTAAGAATATTTCAAAGCCTAGCTATCCACCTCAAACCAATCATCCCACAACAAAAGGCATCTATCAGAACCATCACAAACTCAAACTACAGGCAACACATTAAGCTCAAACTTAAATCCCTGAACCTACTAAATATGTATTAATCTCATACATACCATGTTCACACCACATCTTCAGAAAACTACTCTTCATGATGATGACCTGCAACACTATTTGGAAGATTGTAACAGAGCATAATGCCAGCACACCCCTGTGATTTACTCATGACATATACATTTCCAGCAAACATGAATGAGCATGTTAGATAGGAGTGAATGGAGACGAATGGTTTTCGGGACCTGGCGAGCTGTTGAACTGTGAGCAGGGTAATATTGTGTGAAGGGATTCAAGGAAACTGGTTAGTCGGACTTGAGTCCTGGAAATGGGAAGTACAATGCTTGCACTTTAAAGGAGGGGTTTGGGATATTGGCAGTTTGGAGTGACTATCTAAACTATTGTATCAGGGCACTTCTGCAAAGACAGTGATTATGTATAAGTGATGGTGAATATGTTGAATGATAATGAAAGTTTTTCCTTTATGATAATGAAAGTTTTTCCTTTCTTTTTGGGTTTTTCTTTCTTTTGGGTCATCCTGCCTTGGTGGGAAATGGCCAAAGTGTTAAAAAAAAAAAATATACATTTTGTTAGTATACATGTACAGAGAAACCTCTACTTATGAGTGTATCCACGTGCAAGTTTTTCCAGATATGAGCAGTCGCTCGATTGATTTTTTGCTTCCAGACACGAGTAAAATTCCCAAATTCGAGCGGGCTTCAAGGGAGGTTCCTTGACGCTGGTGAGGGGCTCTTGCTCTTGATCTAAGGAATTTGATCTCAGTTGTTTGTTGGACTATCTTATTGAAACTTGGGCAATGTATGATGGAAATATGCTTCTTAACCCCTTCAGGGTCGGCAGGCCCTCTCCTAAACTTGTTCTAAGGGTCGGAAATTTTTCGGAAAAAAAAAAAAACTCATTTATTTATATATTTATTTATATATTTTGAAAATGCTGGCTGAGTCAAAGGTTCTGGAGATTATTGGCTGAGTTTTCCAGATTTTGGGCCCTTTCATGTACACTGAATTTTTGAAGAGATTTAGACAGACACTGGGAATGTCATAGAGATTTTTGTGCCTAGTATTATGTCTAAAGGTCCTGTTGCAACTGTCAAGAAAGCAATTCAGGTCGGGATATATATTAGAATTTATTGTTCTGTAAATGTAGGCTGCACAGTAATACAAGTGAATGTTTTGTATAGTGAGTAGGTTTAGGTCTTTGAAGAGTGGGGGGAGGGGGGTGTTGTCTAGCAGTGGACTGTGTGATCACTTACACTGCAGATTTTTGTTGGGTTATTATTGGCTTTAGGTGATTTGCTGTTGTGGAACCCCAGACACAAATAGCATAGGTGAAGTAGGGGTAGATCAGTGAGTGGTATAGTGTAAGTAGTTATGTTTGTGGTACATAGTAATGTATCTTTGAGAGGATGCTAACTGTTTTAGATACTTTTTTGTTATGTGTTGGCTATGCTTTCAACAGCCTTCAGTTTAATGCATCTCCCATCCAGTAATAGTGAAATTTACATTAGTAGTTGCATTTACATGCCAAGAATGCCTAGGCATAATAGAGGCTCTCTTTGCATTGCAACCCATTATTATAAATACAAAATCTCAATGTACTATTTGCAAAGACATAAATAAATAAATAAAAAATAAATACATTTGACTAACACTTGCAACAACCTCCACAAACAATATAGCAAATTATTTTGTCATTTTTTCTGAAGCACATGTAAACTATACTTTTTAGAAATAAACTTTATCATTTATCATGCACAATACAAACTGCACCAGCAATTACCTGAAGTGCTAAAAATGCCAAAAGTCGAGGAGTTGGAGAGCAACTGATGTATGCTGTGTTGAGACCTGGGCTACATGCCAAAGGTACCAGCATTACTAACCATAATCCAGGGGATGTGCCACTTCTGTCAGAATAGAACAGAAATTTACATGTGAAATGGAAGTGTCAAATCATTGCCAGTACAGTGCCTGTTACATTTAGGCAATAATTTAATAAACAAATTAATTAAACTTGTACCATACACCATTGAAATACAGGTGTAAATAAGGAAAAATCTTATAATGTTAGACTTAAAATATATTTCACCTTCACACAAGGTAGGATTCTTGGCATTTTGCTATTCCTAATCTACATCAATGACCTTCCAAATGCTTCACAGGAACTTAAACCAATTCTCTTTTATGATAACACAATTTTTGTCATTTTAACCCTTTCAGGGTCCAAAGGCCAAATTTCAAAGTGCACACCAGTGTCCAAGAATTTTCCAAAAAATTTTTTTTTATTTTTTCTTATGAAATGGTAGAGAATCTTTTTCTGAAGGTAATAAAAGAAAAAGTACGAAATTTAATGGAAAATTGATGAAATTATGCTCTCGCGAATTTTGATGTGTCAGCGACATTTACACATCAGCGATTTTGCAGACTTTGACTCCCATTTTAGGCCAATTATATTACTCCAGTCGACCAAATTCTTAGCTATTTCACTAGTATTACAGTGGAACCTCAAATTTCGAACATATCACTTATCAAACGTTTCAAAAATAGAACCCTTTTTTCAAACCAACTTTGCCCCTATTATCGAACGCACCCCAATTTTCAGACTGCCGGGTACCGGACCTGTCCGCCAGCCCACTCTGTCTGCGTCCCCGCGCAGGCGCCATGAGCCAGTCTGGCTTTGTTAATGCTTGAGTGAACACTAACCTGCACTCTCATTCAAACATTTTACGATTATTTCATTGTGTTTAGTGCTTGTGGGATTGTGAAATATGCTACCATGGGCCCAAAGAAACTTGCTAGTGGTACCCCTGTGGTAAAGAAAGTGAGAAACACCATATATGTGAAGAAGGAAATAATACAGAAGTATGAGAGTGGTGAGACTTGCTGAGCTTGCCAGGATGTATGGTAAAAACAAATCGACCATTGGTTCTATCCTGGCAAAGAAAAAACAAATCAAGGAAGCTGATGCTGCAAAAGGTGTTAATATGCTAACCAAAAACAGACCACAAATAGTTGAAGAGGTTGAGAAGTTGTTGCTGGTGTGGATCAAGGATAAAGAGATGGCAGGTGATAGTGTTTCAGAGATGATTATTTGCGAAAAGGCAAGGAAGTTGCATGCTGATCTGGTACAGAAAACTCCTGGAACCAGTTCAGTGGCAGAACCATGTCCCATTTTAGGGAAATGTTAAAGAGGCACCAGAAACAGAGGACTGTGGACAGTTATTTTGTGAGACAGGGGTCCAGTGACTCTCAAGCTGGTCCTAGTAGCATAAAAAGACAGAGAAAGGAAGGAACCCCAGAGAGGGCTTTACCTGAAGTCCTCATGGAGGGGGATTCTCCTTCCAAACACTAACCCCAACTCCCTCTCTCCTCCTCCCTATCTTCCAGATGCATCACCAATCTTCAATAAAGGTAAGTAAAAATGTTATTTTATATTTATATACATAACTGAACACTATAGTATTTGTTGTGTATATGTAAAACTGTAATTAATCTCTATAAAATGTATTTTTTGTGAATATTTTTGAGTTTCTGGAATGGATTAATTGTATTTCCACTACTTCTTATGGGAAATATTGCTTCGATTTTCAGACTTTTCGAATTTAGAACTAGCTCCTAGAACAGGTTAAGTTCGATATTTGAGGTTCCACTGTACTTCTATTCTATTGATTGATCACAAGAAATCGCCAAGTCAACTGTTTCAACTACAAAATAAAGTGATCAGAAATTGGTAATTTGGCCAATTTAATGCAAAGTTCAAAATATTCTAATTTCAAAATATGGTCCAGAATAAATGCAGGCATTCCTGGAACTAAACCAACATTTCCTCTGTTCATTAGTTATGTTTTCAGGCTTCACAAGTGAATTCCATTTTGATTTTTTATTCACATAATGAATTTCTTTCAAACCAAAAAAATAGAAGATTTACTGTTATGCAATACTGTAATAATTGTATGAATAATATCACCACATTTGTGAACGTATATTAGACCCACCAGCTGGCGTGTATTAGACGTGTGGGATCATTTGTTTACTCTTGAACATCGGCAAAAATTTAACATTTCTGCTATTTTGAGCTCAGTTTCAACCCATTTCCATTACTAAAACCAATCAAAATCATCTCTATTTCTGTAATATATCTTCCATTCTATCAAATGAGACCAAGAAAACGAAAATACATGTACAACTATAAAAAACACATGAAAAAACACTGCAAAGTCGCTGTTTTAATCGAGAAATACGATCAGTTTTTTTCCTCATTATGCACTGTGTGCTGCAGGATTTGTTTTATGTGGTGCACACATACCACATAGATGTATTCTCTCATATCTAGGCCCAAATTTACCGCTCACAGCTTATCAGTGAGCTGAGCTCATGGCGTAGATCTACGGTTTGGACCCTCAACGTATAGCTGTAGATCTATGGGACGGACCCTCAAAAGGTTAAAGTCTGATCTGGCTGCACTCATCAACATGGTAAATGCCAAACTTGCTAAAATATCTCCATGGATCACAAATGACAAATTCTCACTTAAATACTGACTTGACCTATACAACCACCATTACTAGCCACTTCCTGGTCCTATTAGTCCATTAAATCATGGGCTTTGTGTATAGTACAAAACTCATTTAATGTTAAACAAATGATAATCTATTTCCTCCATCCTAAAATGACCTTGAGGGAAAACAGAATAGTAGTCATTTTTACAAATCTGCTGGTATCCGTCTTCACAGATTTAGCTTTCAACGTTTTACTGAAGGGCAACCCACAAACAGATTAAATAATCCAATTTGTACTGAAGAAATGTCAAAATTAACTAGATTTGGGCGATAGAGATATGGTCTCTGAAACACAGTGAACTCAAATATGAAACAAAATATTTTATGCACACTTAATTTTCTATTATTTGAAGTTTCTACTTTTGGAGAGCCTCCAGGAACATAACCCTCTGCAAATTTGTAGGGACTGTAATAACATACACTAAATATTAACTTACCGTGTGTTAAGATGATCAAGGTAGAGCGGGGTCACGCTAGGAATCTTACTTAAGATATTCTTCATGATGTAGGGTCAGGCTAGTCAAGCTCTTCAAAGTAATTATGCTCTTCTTTTCAGCTTAATTATCTGTTAGTAAGTTAATGAACCAGCTGAATAGTCAGTTAGTGTGTGTTCTCATGACTACAATGAAGACAGACCTTAACTTATTTTAAACAATAATATTTGGATGACTCTGGAAAGTATTTTTTTAAGATAAAATGTTATGTTACCAGTAATGGAATGACACAAATTTTAAACAAATTCACATCTTTGGCATAGTAGTTCACTCATCCTCCCTAGAACACTCAAACCAACCACACTACAGTAATCACTTTCATTTTAAGAACCACATAGCTGAAATCAAGCAATTCTGCACTATGTCTGGCATTTGATGTGTTCTAGTCATTTCCATTAATTTGCACATTAAAAGAAGGACTTTGCCTGTCTTCTGCTGTAATGTTTTAGTATCCTGTAAAGTAAGTTTATTTAGGTACAGGTACACAAATACAATTATATAAATTATCATACATAGTAGTGTACGTAATTACCTAGGATAACCCCAAAAAGTCAAAGTGACTTATTTCCACTGGAGTCCTTGTTATCAGAAAAGTACTATTTTCAGCTACATATTCTCTGACTGACTATACGCTCTTATTCTAACAAACCATCCAAGTTATTTTAGAGACTGCCCAGGTTATCCCTAGCATATACAAGTATGTACAGTAGGTCATCACGACATTAATGCATTCCCGAAATTTTTTTAATAGTCAAGTGTTTGGAACTCAGAATGTATGAGTGTATGTCATATGTACTTTGAAAGATGGTCAGAGTATTGTGTGGGGAAGGTGGGTTGTGAGAGTACAATTAGCAGAGCCAAGGAAGGGAGAGAGAAAAGGATACACAGTGGTACCTTGGTATAGGAAATTAATTCGTTCCAGAAGGCTGTTCGAGTGCTGATACCGAACAAATTTGTTCCCATAAGGAATAATGTAAATTAGATTAATCCATTTCAGACCCCCAAAAATACACTTACAAAAGCACTTATATAAATACACTTACATTATTGTTCGCATTCTGAGCTGTTTGTATCCCGAGGTACCACTGTACCCGTTATATACTTTTGACTGGTTTTGAGCTTTCCTACTCCGCAGCCTAGCACTAGGCCAGGTATGTCTTGTGCTTGCCAGATCAACCAGGATGTTGCTGGTGATGGTTTGTTGGTCAACATATCCATCATAACCTGGCTGATCTAGCACTGACAACAGTACTTCACAGTATATCTGATATTTTCTGGCAAAATGTTGAACAGTCTTGGGCCCACAGATATTAATAGTGTTCTCTTATTGTACCTATAGTTCCCCTGTTCTTCACTGGGTTTATTTTACAGTTTCTCCCAACTCCGTCACTCCAGTGCTTTGTCATGGCACTGCCTAAGTGTGGGATCAGGCTCTAAAATATCCATTATTCTGTATCTGTCTCCTCTGCTTCAGAGAATACATGTTCAGAAGTGTGAGGTATTTCTCGTAGTTTAAATGCCCTCATATAAAATGAATAATTTTTTTTATTACCCATTCAAAAATGTTACAGTAGTTATACATCGTACCGAATTTGCACACGAAAATCACAACGAAAGCAAAAGACTTGGCAGACGATGCAACATCCCCCCAATGAAAAGCAGGGGTGTCACTAGCACGTTAAGAGACCATACAATAAGTGTCAGGGGCCCGAGACTGTTCAACTGCCTCCCAGCACACATAAGGGGGATTACCAACAGACCCCTGGCAGTCTTCAAGCTGGCACTGGACAAGCACCTAAAGTCGGTTCCTGACCAGCCGGGCTGTGGCTCGTACATTGGATTGCGTGCAGCCAGCAGTAACAGCCTGGTTGATCATGCCCTGCTGCACCATAAGGCCTGGTCACAGACAGGAAGTGGGGGCGCTGACCCCCAGAACTCTCTCCAGGTAAACTCCAGGTACAAAAATATAATCTTAAAAAATACATTGTATATAACTAAGAGCTCATTATTATAATCATAATAATGAGGAAGTGCTAAACCCGTAGGATTATACAGCGCCTGTGGGGGAGGGAGAGAATGGAAGGTATTCAGGCTTAATTCAGGAAACTGGAGCACAGATCCAATTCCCTAGATCAAGAGCCCCTCACCAGCATCAAGGAACCTTCCTTGACGGGTAGTGGAAGCTCAAAAGATACTAATATGCAATACATTACGGTCAATGCCTGGCCATGGACCTGACCTGGGGGGCGCTGACCCCCAGAACACCCCCCAGTCATCACTTGCTTAATGACCTGTGACACAAGGAACCATAAAAATTTTGTTAAGCGAAAAATTTTATAAGTGAATTAATCATCCTTTACGATCCCATGTTATTACTTAATTTTTTTTTTTTACATTAAGCCAACCTAATTTTCGACATTTTCCATTAAAAGTCCTACCTGAGGCGAGTTGAGTGTTTAGTAGAGCCATTATGTTGTTATGTATCAGGTTAGTTATTGATGGGTTGAAGGGTTGAGGTTGACGGGAGGACTTAATGCACGGTAATATATCTAAGTTGCTACATTATTATTATTATAATCAAGGGGGAAGCGCTAAACCCGGAGGATTATACAGCGCCTGGGGGGGGGGATGTGGAAGGCATTCAGGCTTAATTCGGGGAACTGGAGCACAGATCCAATTCCCTAAATCAAGAGCCCCTCACCAACATCAAGGAACCTTCCTTGAGGGGTAAGTTGCTACAGCCAACCCTTATCCTTCCTTCATTCTTCCTCCTCCTCCTCCTTCCTTCTTTCTCCTGTATTATAATCAACAACAATAACAACCACCACCATCACCCCTTATATATTTGGATATGATACAGGTCACCTTTGTGTTATCCTAGGTAATTTACACTGTGTTAGATTATTGAACATATTTGTACCTGTACCTAAGTACACTTACTTAGTCACCACCAGCCACCGCAAACACCAGCAGCTGCACCAACACTAGCAGCTGCACCAACACCAGCAGCTGCACCAACACTAGCAGCTGCATCAACACCAGCAGCTGCGCCAACACCAGCAGCTGCACCAACACCAGCAGCTGCACCAACACTAGCAGCTGCACCAACACTAGCAGCTGCGCCAACACTAGCAGCTGCACCAACACCAGCAGCTGCACCAACACTAGCAGCTGCACCAACACCAGCAGCTGCACCAACACCAGCAGCTGCACCAACACTAGCAGCTGCACCAACACCAGCAGCTGCGCCAACACTAGCAGCTGCGCCAACACTAGCACGTGCGCCAACACCAGCAGCTGCACCAACACCAGCAGCTGCGCCAACACTAGCACGTGCGCCAACACCAGCAGCTGCACCAACACTAGCAGCTGCACCAACACCAGCAGCTGCGCCAACACTAGCATTTACACCAACACCAACAGGCAGAACACACAGCTTGCCAACATGCAGCGCCCCCAACACCAGCAGGGCACAACACAACAGCTGCACCAACACTAGCAGCTGCGCCAAAACCCCAGCAGCTGCACCCACGCAACTGCGCCAAAACTAGCAATGCGCAACCCCAGCGCTGCACCAACCCCAGCAGCTGCACCAACGTAGCACTGCACCAACACCACATTGCGCCAACCCTAGCAGGCACCAAAACCAGCAGCTGAAAACCAACCCCAGCAGCTTCACCACCCCAACACTGCCCCAAACACGAGAGCTGCGCCAACACTACACTGCACCAGCACCTGCACCAACCCCAGCAGCTGCACCAACACACTTTGCCCCAACACCGCAGTTGCACCAACACCAGCAGTGCACTAATACCAGCATCTCACCAACACCAGCAGCTGCGCCAACGCCAGGCTGCGCCAACACTGCAGCTGCTCCAAACCAGCAGGTGCACCAACAGCAGCTCACCAACCCCAACAGCTGCACCAACACGAGCAGTCCGCCAACACTACACTGCCCCAACACCAGCAGCTATTCAACACCAGCAGCTGTCCAATCCAGCAGCTGCCCAACACTAGCAGCTGCCCAAACCCCACAGCTGCCCAACACCAACATAGCAGCTGCCCCAACACTAGCAGCGCGCCAACACCAGCAATGTCCCAACACTGCGCTGCACCAACAGCCTGCACCACACCAGCAGCTAACCAACACTGCAGCGCACCAGCACTGCAGCTACACCGGATTTACCTGGAAGAGTTCCGGGGTTCAACCCCCCCGGGGCCCCGGTCTGTGCCCCAGGCCTCCTGGTGGATCAGAGCCTGATAAACCCAGGCTTTTACTTTTGGCTGATGCAAACAACGTAGGCACACCCCCGGCTGGTCGGAACCGACTTTAGGTGTTGCCCAAAAAGGCCAGTTGAAACTGCCGGGGGTCTGTTGGAATCCCCCTTAGATGCGGGAGGCATTGAACGGTTGGGGGCCCTGCATTATTGTATGATTCTTAACGTGCTAGTGACCCCCCTTTTTTTCATTGGGGGGGTTGCTCGTCTGCAATCTTTTGCTTTCGTAGTGAGGGGTTTTTCCCTGTGAAATTTCGGACTAGCCCCTCTGGTTTTTCCAGGTGTATATAATATGTATTCTCCGCCTGCGTTCCGGGGAATACGGGTTTGGAACCTCAAAGCTCCCGAAATTTGAGGTGTTTTATCTCCGTTATGCGTCCCGTGAAGGTTCTTGTACATTTTCTAGGTCGAAATTTTCACCTGCCTTGAAAGTCTGTTAGTGTGCAGCAATATTCCAGCCTAGCAATTTTCAACACTAGCGGGTGCACCAACCCCAGCAGCGCGCCAACAAGCGTGCCCCCAACCCCAGTTGAAACCCAACACTACATTGCCCCAAAACACTACCCGTGCCTAACATAGCAGTCACCAACACCAGCACTGCCCAACCCCACGGGTGTGCCAACACCAGCAGCTGCGCCAACACTAGCACTGCACCAACACCAGCAGCTGCACAAACCCAGCAGCTGCCCAACACGAGCACGCAAAAACGCAGGTGCACCAACACTAGCAGCTCCGCCAACACAGCAGCTGCCCCCAAAACACCACAGCTGCCCCAAACCCAGCACTCCAACACTAGCAGGGCGCCAAGACCGCAGCTGCGACGACACTAGAAGCTGCGCCAAGCCAGCAGTTTGTGCCAACACTAGCAGCTGCCCCCAACACCAGCAGCTGCCCCAAACCCCACAGCTCCACGAACACCTGCGCTCGCCAACACTCAGTGCACCAACCCAGCAGTGCCCCAAAACCCCACAGCCCCACAAACCCCTGCAGCTGCGAACACTAGCGCTGCGCCAAACACCAGCAGCTACACCAACACTAGCAGCTGCACAACACCAGCGCTGCACCAACACCAGCAGCTGAACAAACACCACAGCGCGCCAACACAGCAGCTGTCCCAACACCAGCAGCTGTGCAAAACCAACGCTGCCCCAACAAGCAGCTGCAAACACAGAGCTGCCCAAACCCCAGCAGCTGCACCAAACACCAGCAGTGCGCCAACACACAGCTGCGCCAACTTAGCAGCTGCGCCAACCCCACAGCTGCCCCAAAACACTGCAGCGCACCAACACCAGCAGCCCCACAAACCCAGAGCTGCCCCAAACAGCAGCTGCCCAACCCCCGAAGCTGCACAACCTAGCACTGCACCAACCTAGCAGCTGCAAACACTAGCAGCTGCGCCAACACTGCAGCTGCACCAACACTGCACTGCACCAAACCAGATGAAAACCAAACCACGGGTGCCCCAAAACACCCCACTTGCCAACCTAGAGGCGCACCAAACCACGCTGCACCAACACTACAGGTGGCCAACACCAGCAGCTGCACCAACATACAGTTGCCTAAACTAGCGCTGCACCAACATGCAGTTCACCAAAACACTGCAGTGCACCAACACTAAGCTGAAACCAACCCCAGCAGCTGCCCCAACCCCAAAAGGGTGGCCAACCCGCCTGCGCCAACACTGCAGCTGCCCCAACATCAGCAGCTGCCCCAACACCGCAGCTGCGCCAAAACGAGGCAGCTGCGCAAACGCCAGCAGCTGCACCAACACTGCGCTTGCCCCCAAACCAGCAGCTGCCCCAACCCAAGCAGCCCCCAAACCCCAGCAGCGGGCCCAAACACTAGGGGCCCCCAACACAGCACTGCGAAATACGCTGGCCAACACCAGCAGCTACAAAACACTGCAGGCCCAACTCAGCAGCGCACCAACACCAGCAGCTAACAAAAACCAGCGCTGCCCCTACACTAGCAGCGCCCAACCACAGCTGTGCAAAAAACCAACAGCTGCACCAACAAGCAGTGCCCCAACACTAGCAGCGCACCAACACCGAGCTGCCCCAACACCGCGCTGCCCAACCCAGCAGCGCGCCAAAAAAGCAGCTGCGCCAACACCAGCGCTGCGCCAACACTAGCAGCTGCGCCAACACCAGCAGCTGCCAAAACCAGGCTCACCAACACAGCAGCTGCCCCAACACCAGAAGCTGCACCAACACTAGGCTGCACAAACTAGCCTGCACCTACACTGCAGCGCGCCAACACTAGCAGCTGCCCAACACTAGCCTGACCAAACCCAGCTGCACCAACCCGCGGTGCGCCAAAACACCCGCAGCTGTGCCACATAAGGCCCCCACCAGCGCTGCCCAACATGCATTTGCCCAAAAACCCAGCTGCACCAACACTACAGTTGCACAACACTGCACGGAAACCAACACTAGCAGTTCCCAAACCAAAACACTACCCGCGCACCAACATAGTAGCTGCACCAAACCAGCAGCTGCACCACACCAACGGGTGTGCCAACACAGCACGCGCCAAAACCTAGCGCTGCCCCAAATCAGCACTGCCCCAAAAACCCCCAGCAGCTGCGCCAACAGGGGAAACTCGCAAACCCCAGAGCTCACCAACACCAGCAGCTGCGCCAACACTACAGGTGCGCCAAAAACACCAGCAGCTGCCCCGACACTAGAAGCGCCCCAACACCAGCAGCTGCGCCAACACTGCAGCGCCCCAACCCCAGCAGCTTGCCAACACCACAGCTCCACAAAACCGCGCTGCGAAAACACTAGCGCGTGCCAACACCAGCAGCTGCACCAAACCAGCAGCTGAAAAAACAAAAGCAGTCACCAAACACTAGACTGCCCAAAACACCACGCTGTGCAAACCCC